ATACAGCCCAAGATAATCAATCAAGCATGACATTATAGAGCAATTTAAAGCTTCAGCCATTTTTCTAAGGGCGATGTCATCTCACTAGTTTTTAGAGAAACTCATTTTAAAAATTACTGACTTTTCTGTTAGAAATTTCTAAACAATAGCTTTCATCACTGGAAACTTATTGGCCCAAGCTTACTGATGACAGAAGCTGTAAACTCCTATCTTTTCCATTCAACATGTTTTGAACGAGTTTTGTCAAGCCGCAAACAGTTATTTTCACAAAATCTGAACGATTTTAGCAAGCACATGTTTGACTACCGTTTATAACAGATTGCCTAACAGCTGTTTTTAAACAGTCTGAAGTTCCGCTTTTCACCTAGCAAAAGTAAGTAAAGTAGACAACAAACGCTCCTCGAAAAGCCTTAAATAACAGTATTAAAGAATTCACTGGTTATTTCTAAGTGGGCTCGTAAAACTATGTGACAACTCACAGCTCATCTATTCCTAAAAATGAATCAAGTGGTTAACTGAAAACTGGCTAAAGCCACAAGAGCCCTCTATAAATAGCTTTGCTTGAATATACCCCTTTATTCCAACATCGCATTTTTTCTTTCTTGTATATAGATGATTAAAAACACTTCTTCCAAGATAAAATCAAAAAACATGGAACTTTCATTTCGTAGTATCATTTAACGCGTCAAGGCTTGTTAAAACTTTAAACGATAATTTTGAATAGCATTTACTGCTGCTTTTTTTCCATTTCCTCTCACAAATTTCGATAAATTTCAATTGATTTTGCAATATATTTACTTTAACTCGTTTTTTCTTTGCTTATTTAGTTTTTTCTCTTGCTCCTCTCATCTAATATAGCTTCTAGCGAATTTATTGATATTTTATTATTACTATCAACTTTGTTATATTTTCCTACTCAAAGATGAAGTGCCAATGATGTATAAGAACGTTGCAATACCTTAGATTGTAATTTGCTTTGGAAAGTGAACCGATATGAAAGCTCACTTACAAGATTACTTTCCTATCTTGTTCTCCAGAAGCTACGGGGTGAGCAGAGACAAAAGAAGCACAGCAAGTGCATATGCACTCATGCTGTTGAAAAAAGTTTCTTTATTTCCCGAGGATAAATCGTTGTAGGTCCAAAACACTTGTTTTGTTGATAAGCACCCCCAGGACCAAAAGTCGTGAATACGATAAAGGATTTCGCTGGCAGCCAAGACGTCACGAATTAAATCTGAGCGAGAAACAACGTCAAGTACGCAGACTGCAGAAGAAAGAAATCGGCAGTAAACAAAGAAGAATTCTACTAGAGCTGCATAAGTGCCAAAGTGTGATTGTGTTTGTTTATCACGCACAATACTTTGAAAACACTTAATCTTGCTCCACCGTCACTTGTAAGTCTATAACCTTTTATTTTATCTTATCTTAATGTTACTGTTTTAACTATATCACGTATATGGGTTTAATTACACATATTAGAGATGACGGGCAATCCTTGACGGCAAAATGCTAGGACCCAGATGACAGAGGGTCAAGAGTGAGTGCGAACTGTGGACGAGAATATCATAATCCAGGCAGTAATACTACTAAAAAACAAAACAAGAAGTTATTTTTTTAAAAAATTCTGATTAGCTTATACGACTGCACAGAGTTTAGTTCCATGATGCATCTAAAGTTTAGTTTATAGATTCAGGATACCCGCCAAAAGTACTTGAGCTTTTTAATCCCTGGAAAGTCGTTCCGTAGAGTCAGTCGAGGAGCAATGTGCCAGTTTTGTTGCAACGGAGAAGTCACTTTCTCAAAACTCGCACAGAATGTTCTAAACCAGAACAAGTTTATCAAAAGCTTGGTTAGCGAAATGACTGCTGATCGTAGCATAACAGCCAATTAATTAATGAATTAATATTATTGTCAAATATTATTACAGTTTTTACATTCCAAGCAATGTCAAATACAATGTCTTCGGTAAAAGTGGATAGGTGGAGCATAAATCTTCTTTTGACCTACGATTCAGCAACGTCAAAAATCCAAAGGGAAAAGTCACCACAGCCTCAGTTCCTTACCACAAGCATCACACAAATTAAGAGTGGAAAAAATAGGCAGCAATTAAGCGTTCTCACTTCCAAAACTTAGTTTTTTTTTTTTTTTGATTGTTAATCCAACTTGATCTTTTGTATTTTTGTACACAGGGTTCACGACATCGCCTTATTTATCTGTAATATTTTCAAACCTATCCATATAACTTTGCTAACTTTCCAATAGTCTAATACTAAGACGTCGCTCTCGTCTTCTTGCCATTTCACACGAGAGCTTTCATGTCAGCGGTTAATGTAATTTATATAGTGCAGGCACTTTGTGACTGCAATCTTAGGAACTTAGAAGGTACAAATTTACAACAAATTCACCCTCTGCGCAAATCCTCTACTCACAGCCGAAATACTTCTTGACAATTTTCTAATTTACTTAAAAATGCCCATTTGATTGCGACTGGTCCGCTTTTACTATTTTATAAAACTCTTTAGCCGCTTTCTAGTCTAAAGAGGTAATTAAAACATGAAAAAAGTAACCTTGAGAAAAAAATTTCCAACAAAAGTAAAGAGAGGCGATTACGGAAAAGTAAGACAAAGACAAAACAAAAATCAGAGCTATCGAATCTTAACAGCTACACTTCGTCTCGTACCCCTGTTTTCACTGCTTTCTGTTTATTAGTTACCTTGTTTTAGCTATAGTGCATCTTTAATAATCTGTAGACGCTTTCATCATTTATTTTTACCTAAAGTTTCTTCCTTTAGATTACTTTTTTCATGTTTTGACTAACCCTTCAAGTTAAGGAGCAAGTAGAGAGGTTTACAAAATAATACAAGTAGCCCTTTGAAACAAAAATTCACTTGGTGCCATTTGTCGAGTTCCCTGTGTACAGCTAAAACGCTATGATCGAATGGGTATTTTCGGGCAAACCAGAAAACGGCCAAGGAATGCGAGTAGACGAGTTGCACGCAAGGTGTGTTGGAACCTTTCAGATTCCTACGATTGCAAACACTAAATGCTTGAAATATCCACATTATACGACTCTATGACGCAAAGCAGCGTTGTGAAATGGAAAAAGGATTAAAACGACATTTTAACATTAGACTGTTAGAAAGCCAGCAAAAACTACACAGAAAAACCTGAAACTATAACAGATAAATTAAAGGGTGTCACGAACCCTAAATACAAGTAATTAAGTTAGGCTGACGATTAACAAAAGTAAGTTTAGAGAGATCATCACTTTTAAGTGAAATAACGTCGAAAAAGTGGCAACGGGTTTGAAGCTGGATAAAAGACATGCATCTCATAAAAGTAACATAGACCCATCCATTTACGGTACCGACTTATCATTTTGGAAGAGCAATTTGCTACTACGCAATAGAAAACCTTCATTTCATTGAAGTCAGCGCACTTTAAAGTCCATTATGTATGTTGTACAACTCGGTTTGTGGTGGACTCGGGTTCCAGTAGCTTTTTACTTTTTCAACGCGGTCACCTCACCAAATGCCATGAGCCACAAACAGCAACCTTCATGTAAAGGTCATTCGGCTGTTAATCGGCTTTTGGTTTGTACGATGAAAATCTGGAATAATCTTCTCAAATGACTACCGAAAGACTAATCAAATTAAATATGTTCAAAACGATTTAGATGGCGCTCAGCTGATTTTAGTTATTTTTAGATATCTGGTTGAATTTTAATGTTAAATGTTGGTTAGTTTTTTTCTGTTTTTAAATTTGTGACTTTATCTAAATAGTGAAGGGTATGCTAGAATATTCATATGAATAAAAAAAATAAATAGATAATACACAGCTCCACGAGCAACTACTTCCGTAGATAAATGTAGCACCAAAAGAGAAGCCACTCTAAATCGCAGACGAGCATTGATTTGGCTTCTGCAATAACCATAAAACAAACAAATTCGATGAATTATTACCAAAGGAATACCGAAAAACCCTAAAGGAAGATCCTGCAACAAGTTTATTCCACCTGCCGCAATGGTGCCACAGAAATGACACTTTTTTTGCGACTTTTCCTATATATTGCAAAACGTTTGACAATGATAATGTGACAAGAGAGAAAACGAGTGAAGTTCTACTCCTTTTACCGTAAAACATTAACTTTCTTTCAGGCGAATAAAGTGGAACAACAGCTAGCAAAATTTCTACAGTAATGAAACAGTCGCAATGAGACTCAATTTTTGAATTTCGTAATGGGAAATTTCGTTTTTCTTCGTTTGAATATTACTGCAGGCCGACGAAGTTCTGTTGCCCTGTTCGGCTTGATGTCGTCCAGGTGACAAACCGTAATCTGTTAGGGATGCAAATTGGAAGTTACATAGTGATGGATTTGAACAGAGGATGGCTTCTTTTTTGACTCATTTGTCTCTTTTTTTTTTTCTTTTTCGAAATAATGTAAATTTGGTGTTCTTGATTTCTCTTTTGTTGAAGGAATGCGAATTGCTCCATCTTCTTTTTACTTTACTATACTTACTTTATTCCTTTAGTTTTATACCTTATGTAACAGTTTATATTACGACTTCCTCCACATATATTCTTTTTATCTATTATGCAGTACCTTCCTTAATGAAAAGCTCGCAGAAATTTCCCGGTAGTCTTTTTTTAGTCTTCTGTGTGTGGGGTGTAGGAGTTATGCGAAAATGTGAATTCTGAAGATAGTAAGAGAAGTTTTTTCTTGCCACTAGGCAAATGTCACTTTTTCTGCTATATCTAACGCTTAAGCTGAAACGTTTCATGTATTGCACTGTTTACGAGACTTCCATGGCCGGTGTTGGGTCAGCTCTATTCGCCCAATAATGGGCGGAAAATATTCCAGTAGTATAAGAAATTTGCTCATTATGTGAGTTCTCTGCGAATTACTTACCGTCAGCGTTGGAATGTACGATATCGCTAGATAGTTGGTTGAGATACTTACTAATTTTAACGGGATCAACTGAATAAACTTTTTTGAGCTAATGGGAAGTACTGGGAAATCTGCAGAAGCTGAACCAGAGGTAAAGGAATTTACTTTGAAGGAGGACAATGAGTTACGCTTTGAGGTAAGATTGTCATTCTAACTATTATCTTTTCATCCCCAGTTAACACATTACTTTTTGCTTCTAGTTTCTTGTATACTTTGTAACAAAATGATATGATTCAGTCAGTGATTTTTAACTTGTTTTCGATGAATTTCTGCTAAAGGCTGGTATTTAGCTTCCTTTTAAATTCTGCTTGTTTGTGAGTAAGCATAGCCAAATGAAAAATTTTCACTTTCAGGTTGGAAGTAAAAATGATGTTATTTTGGAATTGGTTGCAGGGAAAGCTGAAGTTTTTGGATCTGAGTTGATCCTTAATAAAAAATATACATTTGGTCCAGGTACAGAAATTTTCATAAAATGCCGCTTTATTTATTACCTGTTTGTTGAAGAAGTTTATCTTTGCGATAACGTAAAATTCTCTATGAGTAAACTTGTACAACATTTCTTACTCTTCGGAGCTGTTTATTGAGATTTCATGGCCTAGATTCGTGTTGATATTTTCTCCCTTTTACGACGTATTTTACAGGTTCTCGTGTAGCGGTGTTTACGTGGAGTAATGCGGTAGTAGAATTAGTGGGAGACACCGAAAGTGCGTATGTTGCTGAACAAACTCCTATGGTAATTTTTTATAAGTACTTTAAGTTTTTCACTCAGTTAGATTTTGCAGTTGGTCATTTGGATATTATAGGTGATTTATCTGAATACACATGCTGCTTTGGAACAGTTACGAGAGCATGCAGAGTCAATTGTTAATCAAAAAGAAGAAGCTCAGGGACCTGTAATTATGATTGTGGGGCCTACCGATGTAGGGAAAAGTACATTATGTCGAATTTTATGCAATTACGCCGTTCGACAAGGAAGAACACCAATTTTCGTTGACTTGGATGTTGGGCAGGCAAGCTTATTTTTTAACAGTTTTTTCAAAGGATACCTTGCTTTTTTAAATCTTTCCTCCAGTTGGTTATTAAGTCATAGTTTTAGGGTGGTATATCTGTGCCTGGAACTGTTGGCGCTTTATATATTGAGAAAACTGCTGATGTTGTTGAGGGTTTTGATAAACGATTTCCCTTAGTCTACCATGTATATTTCAATATCCATTGTCAGAATTTAATAATTTTCTGATTACTTCCAGGTAAATTCAATTCCTGTTTGTTGCCTCTTTGTCTTTTCAGTTTGGTCACTTGTCTCCATCATCTAACATAGCTCTCTATGACTTGCTTGTGGATCAGCTTGCTGAGGCTGTGAGAAAAAAGATGAGGGAGTGTCCCGAAGCAAATTATGGCGGTCTGATCATAAACACTTGCGGGTGGATTAAGGGCGACGGGTGATTTTCTGTGAAATTAAAGAGTGCATTTTGATGTATAATAAAATTATGAGCGTAAATTTATAGAAGTTTGTGATGTATGCACTTAATTTAGCGAATTTGCAGGTACCAATGTATTACCCACGCAGCCACTAGTTTTGAAGTCAGTGTTGTTGTGGTGTTAGATCATGAGAGGCTATTTAATGAGCTACAAAGGGACCTACCAACATTCGTAAAGGTTCGTGGAACTTTTTTTTTGATAGTTAAGCGATAAAAAAAGTTTTAAGTTTAGATTTGGTGTTTCTATTTGAACTTTAAGTAATCTGAGTTAACTGCTTAACTGGGAAACTGCGGTGATTTTTGAAGGGTCTGTGCTTTGAGATTTTATTCAGAAATTTACACTCGTTTGCTGCATTTCGCACTTTTGTTGCCACTTATTTTTTCTACAGTACTGTTTTTAAACGTCATTACTTTTTTGTTTGGAACAAATCAGTTTTGATTTTTTGGCACTTTTTTGGGCAGTGATTGTGTCGTATTTCCTTCTCCTGATGTGGTTTTACTTTTTTGCTACATGCTTCGAAGTTTGGGTTTATTCATTTTGGTTGCTTTTACTTGGTTTAGGAACCCTAGTTCTCTTTGTGACTCGCTGTTCGTCTCATTTTCTGCAATTTCTTGTTAAGGTTCTGCACCAACCGAAGTCGGGTGGAGTTGAAAATCGCAGCAGAGAGATGCGTGTTGCGGCTCGGAATGCATCTGTTCATAAGGTTTACTTACATTTCAATAATATTATAAAGGTCTGGATAATATGACTTCTTGGCTAATACTTCGATAACTACTGCTTAAGGGATTCATAATTGTTGATGACTTTTAGTATTTTTACGGGACCCGAGCGTTTCCTTTGTACCCATACACTTTTGACGTTGCTTTTGACGACCTCACAATATGCAAAATTGGGACTGATCCTTTGCCACCAGAATGCCTTCCATATGGCGTGAAGCCAGATGATCATAGGACCAAGGTAACGATTTTTGCGTTTTAAATTGAAGAATAAATTTTTTCCAGCTGTTTGAAGTTTAGCAGTTAAATATACATTTATATTCGACAGTTTGTCCTGAGGCTTTATGTTCATTTATCTGGGTCAAGTGCTGTAATTGCCACGCTTGGTAACAGCATTTAAGGAAAAACTTTTTTTCTTTTATCTGATGGTTTGCTTATTAGTCAAACAAGATCTTTTATCCCTGTTGTTAATATAGCACCGCCATTCTTCCAGGTCGTTACCGAACAGCCTTCATTGTCCTTGTTACATCGTATGTTAACCTTAACGTCGTGCACTGTGGTAGGTCAGGAAATATTGTCAACCCCAGCTCTAGGCTTTCTTGTACTAACGTCAATAGATATGGAGAAAAAGCAGTATACGGTACTTAGCCCAAAACCTTACCCCCTTCCGTCTAAAGTCTGTGTTCTGGGTGAAGTGACATTCGTCGATGATAAAGTTAGAGAGTAATAGTAGGCTCCAATTTTAGTTTCTGTGTGTGAACTCTTCTCCTAACATTTCAGAGCCTTAAGAAGTGGTTTCCATATTTTTGCTCCGGTTTGAATTTAGGGTGAGTACACCCCGCTAAAAGCTGCATTAACCATGTTAAAGTTGGTCTCAGGTTTCTTACCTTATATGTACATAAGAACTCGCACTTTCCACTATTGGTTGTTATTTTTTTCCATGGACTTTGTATTTGTTAATTGATTGATGAAGTTTGCTGTACATTTTGCCATTAAAAAATTTTTACTTTGTAATAAATTCTTGAAAGACTTGATTTATGAGTCACCGTTGGTGGACAATAGTGAATTAGTTTAAGTTCAGTTTGTTGATGTGAGATTAAGTGCTTCCAGCATGTTTTAAAAATTGTTCTAAATAAGTCACTAGCTCTTATGCTCGTTTCCTGGTTGTACTGCATAGTGGACGGTTGTTAATTCAAAATTTGTTTTGATAATAGTTCTTCTTGATGCGTCTTCCTACGATGTTAATAGTCGGAAGTTGTAAAAACTCATTTTTATTGTTCTTTCATGTCATATGACCCAGTCCTTTTTTTTTTCAACCAGTTTCTCTTCTGATTATATGTATTTTGGTGCGCTGAAGTTTCTTGGACCTTATCTCTTTGTATGTCAGTCGAAATTCCGCTCACTGTGGTTGTAACTTTGTTGTTTGGTGAATGCGTACAGCAGAAATTGTTAGCTGGAAATTTGTTAAGCAAGTGTAATTACGTTAAACTGTAACACGTATAAGACAGCTGGCAGACCGTTGTGCACGAAGGCAAGCCTTGCGGATGGTACGTAATCCGAAGACAGTTCTAGAAATTGCAACTACTTCTTCTGTTGCCCTAACTTCTAGTTTTCTTCTGCTGGGT